CAAAAATAACAAAGGAGAGAGAAAGGATAAGAAATTGTCGCATTATCCTAGGCCATAGAATGACTCAAGGATTACCAAGGTGAATTCAAGGTTACGACAAATTGTTTTTGTACACATAAAGGGGGCTTAAATTTACGAATAGCCAAGGCTTCTATAAACTTAAGAATTCGTCCTTGACAATTTCTATACAACGTTTTAAAAGCTGCATTAATATCAATTTTGTGCCCCGTTTCAATTATATGTTTCGCTATCGATGACCCTGGTTTTCTACCACCCACGTTGATCGGATCGTTTGACACACATTGATTTTGAAGCCATTTAGGCACATGTTCATTGACCCTTGATTGCATTGTTCGATTACTCCTCCCTATGTATGTGTGTCCACACAAACATGCAAATTGGTAAATACAATGGGATGTGACGTAATCATTGGTGCATTGTCTGGGTGTACTAGGAATCATGGCCTTGGACTTTTCAATCACAATCAATTGAGCAGCATAATAGGTGTTCTCGATCGCTGCTTTCAATCTCTGTCTTAAAACTATGCTATTAGATTCACCTCTATATGATAGATTGATGTAAACTTTTTTCTTTGGGACCGAATAAACAAGAGGTCTTGGTATTAACTGACTTTTGCACCTATTAATAAAATTTAATGGATAACCATTTGCTATTAATGTGTCAGTCAGTAACTTTTCATCTTTTTCCACCGTGTCAGATGTACAAATCCTTTGAGTTCTTTTAAAGAGACACTTAACCAAGCCTCGCTTGTATTGCAATGGACAAAAACTATGGAAATTTAAGTATTGTCCCATCCAGGTAGGTTTCCTATACACTGACCGTCTAATAGTACCATCATCCCTTCGACTTAAAAGTATGTCTAAAAAAGCCAATTTGCCATTACTTTCTGCTTCATGTGTCATCACGATATCATCTTGAACACTATTGAGTTTATCCAATAATCCGTAAACGTCAAAGACTTTAGCACATATAATTAGAATATCGTCCATGTATCTTCTATATAGAGTTACCTCACTAATAAGCTCACTCGTCCTGTTTTCTACATATGACATAAATACATCAGCTAGGAGAGGCCCCAAAGGGCTACCCATAGCTACACCATCAACTTGCCGAAAATATTCACCATCGAACGTGAATTGAACATTAGCAGTACATAAAAAAGTAATTCTTTCAACAATGATAACGGAATAGGAAAAAGGGAAAAATTTTTAGAAATATAGTCACAAAGGAAATCCACCGTCTTTGTTAACGGAACATTCGTAAGAGAGAGTTACATCAAAAGAATACAAAGACTTATCTTTAATATTAATGTCCCCAAGAAGATCAATCAGTTCAAATGTATCTTTTAAGGAAAACTTACATAGTTTAATACGAATTGGGTTTAACAATTTTACAAGCCATTTAGCTAGCTCATGTGTGGGTGAACCGCGCATAGATAAAATTGGTCGTAATGGAATATTAGGTTTATGAACTTTAGGTAATCCATATAAATTCGGGAGAACAGAACCCGAAGGTTTTAATACATTAAACTCCTCAGTGTTTATGACGTCCATTTTAAGAAGCTTTAATAGATTGGATTTCACTCTGGATTCCAATTTTCTAACATTAATATTGGATAAAACGTCCGGCAAGAATTTACTCTCGTCACCCAGTATAGATAGCATTTTTTCTTTATATTCACATTTATTTATAACGACTACTCCTGAACCTTTGTCAGGTCTGAGGATCACAATATCTGGCCTACTTGGTTCAGGAGTAGTCGTTATAAATAAATGTGAATATAAAGAAAAAATGCTATCTATACTGGGTGACGAGAGTAAATTCTTGCCGGACGTTTTATCCAATATTAATGTTAGAAAATTGGAATCCAGAGTGAAATCCAATCTATTAAAGCTTCTTAAAATGAACGTCATAAACACTGAGGAGTTTAATGTATTAAAACCTTCGGGTTCTGTTCTCCCGAATTTATATGGATTACCTAAAGTTCATAAACCTAATATTCCATTACGACCAATTTTATCTATGCGCGGTTCACCCACACATGAGCTAGCTAAATGGCTTGTAAAATTGTTAAACCCAATTCGTATTAAACTATGTAAGTTTTCCTTAAAAGATACATTTGAACTGATTGATCTTCTTGGGGACATTAATATTAAAGATAAGTCTTTGTATTCTTTTGATGTAAACTCTCTCTTCACGAATGTTCCGTTAACAAAGACGGTGGATTTCCTTTGTGACTATATTTCTAAAAATTTTTCCCTTTTTCCTATTCCGTTATCATTGTTGAAAGAATTACTTTTGTTATGTACTGCTAATGTTCAATTCACGTTCGATGGTGAATATTTTCGGCAAGTTGATGGTGTAGCTATGGGTAGCCCTTTGGGGCCTCTCCTAGCTGATGTATTTATGTCATATGTAGAAAACAGGACGAGTGAGCTTATTAGTGAGGTAACTCTATATAGAAGATACATGGACGATATTCTAATTATATGTGCTAAAGTCTTTGACGTTTACGGATTATTGGATAAACTCAATAGTGTTCAAGATGATATCGTGATGACACATGAAGCAGAAAGTAATGGCAAATTGGCTTTTTTAGACATACTTTTAAGTCGAAGGGATGATGGTACTATTAGACGGTCAGTGTATAGGAAACCTACCTGGATGGGACAATACTTAAATTTCCATAGTTTTTGTCCATTGCAATACAAGCGAGGCTTGGTTAAGTGTCTCTTTAAAAGAACTCAAAGGATTTGTACATCTGACACGGTGGAAAAAGATGAAAAGTTACTGACTGACACATTAATAGCAAATGGTTATCCATTAAATTTTATTAATAGGTGCAAAAGTCAGTTAATACCAAGACCTCTTGTTTATTCGGTCCCAAAGAAAAAAGTTTACATCAATCTATCATATAGAGGTGAATCTAATAGCATAGTTTTAAGACAGAGATTGAAAGCAGCGATCGAGAACACCTATTATGCTGCTCAATTGATTGTGATTGAAAAGTCCAAGGCCATGATTCCTAGTACACCCAGACAATGCACCAATGATTACGTCACATCCCATTGTATTTACCAATTTGCATGTTTGTGTGGACACACATACATAGGGAGGAGTAATCGAACAATGCAATCAAGGGTCAATGAACATGTGCCTAAATGGCTTCAAAATCAATGTGTGTCAAACGATCCGATCAACGTGGGTGGTAGAAAACCAGGGTCATCGATAGCGAAACATATAATTGAAACGGGGCACAAAATTGATATTAATGCAGCTTTTAAAACGTTGTATAGAAATTGTCAAGGACGAATTCTTAAGTTTATAGAAGCCTTGGCTATTCGTAAATTTAAGCCCCCTTTATGTGTACAAAAACAATTTGTCGTAACCTTGAATTCACCTTGGTAATCCTTGAGTCATTCTATGGCCTAGGATAATGCGACAATTTCTTATCCTTTCTCTCTCCTTTGTTATTTTTGTTTGTACTTTAACTTTCATGTAATTGACCTTTATTAATTTTCATATAAAATGCCCTGACAAGTATATGTGTGACCAGATTGTTCGAAATGTATAGCGCAAATACATCACATTTTTCAGATCAACTCCGTCTTCTCATTGTTCTATCGAAATTTATAAAAGGGACTAATTGCTTTAAAACTAAGAATGCTTGCAAAGCTTTGGTAATTATGGCCAGACTTTCCTAGGGGAAACAATTGCTTAGGAACTGTGAAAACAGTCTGAATGTGTTGTTTTGATTTGCGAAGAAGCTAACTCAGAGAAGTAATCGAATCTTTGTGCTTTTGATACGAGATAACTCGTTGATATTGTCAAGAAATTATGTTGCGAAGTCTAAAAGTTTGTCAGAATACCTCAGAAATGTTCTATATATTAGCGATAGTGAAGGCAATGCAAACAAATAGCTGAGAACATAAACAGTAAGTGAAGTTGTGTTACAAATTATAATACAGTATAGAGGTCTAGAAGTCATGATGAACAACGACCTTTATACTATGGGTAACTATAAGCCGTTTGTGAGCTACTTAAATACTTAGACAGAGGAATGTTTGTGGCGTCAAACTTTAGTGAGGATGCATTTGGAATATGAGATCCAAATAGCTAGTCACTGTTTCAAGTATGAAGCGGACACACTAGAATCAGTCTGACATGGAGGGACTAAAATGGTGTGAGAAGAAGATAGACTGGAATGTCTCGACCCATTTCCGAAATCGCACCGCAGGTACAGGGAGATTTAATATCTGACCCATCTGATGACACATTTAGTTGTTTACTGAGCTCCACACGCGGGCAACTCCAACGTTCTCGACACGTTTGAGTTTTTGTTGATTTACTTTCTGTGTGAACATAGTGAGTATGGGTAATCTGAGAAAACATAGAATTATTGTTCCATACCATTTGGAAGTCCTTTAGAGCACTATCAAATTCAATCCAGCTTCCAAATCGCTTGTTCAGTACAATACGTTGAAACGCCTCGCTTATGTCCACTGAAATTTCATTTGAGCATGAAGCACTACAGACATCACGCATTAATTATTAAAAAAAGTTATTCCTTGAAAAATACTAACTGAAAGATGTACAACAAATATTTAAGACTTACCGATGAGTTGACATTTCGTCTTAACTTTTTTGTTTAATAGCGATTCACAAAAAATTTGCTCACCTATAACTTTTAAGGTTATCTTATTTTTCTTACGTTGTTTTATGGACCTTATCAACAAATTATATAAAGGTATTGACGTTTACTACAGCAGATGTGATCACAGATCATGTTTCGAAGCAACAACAGAGCTAACGTGTACACTACAAGACAGAGGATGCTATATTAATGCTCTTGGCAGTTATTTTGTGCTTTTTCATGCAGCAAAATATGACTTAAATATGAAAAAACTTATTACTCATACAACCCAACACACCAAAGGCAATTGAAATATGGAATGACCGCCTATAGTCAGGCCGTTCAAGGTCATTGAAACGAAACGGCGGGCAGGTTTGAACGAGTCTACCGTTTTTCCAGTGCCGCACAATTAATTCCTCATGTGGCATTATCCCGTTTGGTTGTTTGCAATTTTCCATCTTAGCAAGTCTTATGGTTACGTTATCGAAGGTACTGTTGTAATGCCTCCTGAAGCTCCTACGGACTGGCATGTCAACACAAGAATTAACATAGCTGGTGATCAGTTCGTTGGTTTTGTGAAAGCAGACGGTAATTTCGAAGTGACTAATGTTCCATCTGGATCATATATAGTTGAAGCCATCAATCCAGTCTATTATTTCCAGGTGAGTATTAACGGAATAATTCCACGTATAGTCTAAAGATATAAATGGTAATGGTAGTAGTCCGAAATATCCGTTTCAGTTTGGAAAGAACAGGAGGCTTGATGGCCTGTGTTAGTCCTGGCAATTGCGTTCTCTCGGTTGATCCAACTTTCTTTTGAAAGAATCTACGGATGGAGCTTCAACCACGTGTTCAAGTGATGAATTCCACTCATTGATGATTCGGTGGGAAAGTCGATAATCAGCTGACAAGTAATTTGTTCTGGGCTTGTGAACTTTTATGGAGTGTCGTCGTAAATTCTCTGTTTTGGAAGACAGGAAAGATGAGGGCATATCGGGTGCAAATTTATCACTAAGCAATTTGAAAACTGTAATCAAGTCGCCTTGGTCACAATCACTTATCGTCACAATATTTAAGAAAGGGTCAAAGTCATCCTGTGACAACCACAGAGGGATTAGTTTAACTAATATAATATCTAAAATACTAGCTTCGATAGTTTTCGGACGCCTAACTAAGACTCGTGAGCTGCAAACACGTGAAAATGAGGCTGGCTTCAGACCTGGTCGTGGCTGCATCGACCACATATTCACCATTCGTCAGGTTCAAGAACACATGCATACTTATCGGCGTCCGACAATAATGGTCTTCCTTGATTTAAAAGCAGCGTTTGACTCTGTTGACCGAGAAGTTCTGTGGCAGTGTCTGTCATTGAAAGGCGTACCTCAGAAGTACATAAACCTTATGAAGGCTCTTTACTCGAACACTACTAGTCGAGTCAGAGCTTATGGCGAACTGTCATCTGCTTTTGCAACCTCAAGTGGCGTCCGCCAAGGCTGTCCACTTCCTCCGTTTTTGTTCAACTTCATCATAGATCTACTGATGGGAATAACGCTCTCATCGACTGAATTCTCGGGTATTGATCTCCTACCAGGAGGTCCACTTATTGACTTAGAATACGCAGATGACATAGTCCTGTTTGGTGAAGACGCTGATGAAATGCAGAGTCTATTGGTAGCACTGAGCAACAATGCCAGAATGTTTGGGATGCGCTTCTCTCCCTCCAAATGCAAGTTGTTGCTTCAGGATTGGTCTGCATCAACACCTGAACTAAGGATAGGGAGTGAAGTAGTCGAACGTGTAGACAACTTCACTTATCTTGGAGGTCTGATCAGCTCTAATGGGTTGGTGTGTGACGAAATCTCAGCACGGATTCGAAAAGCTCGTTTGGCCTTTGCCAACTTACGTCATCTAAGGCGAAGGCGAGATATTCGTCTATCAATTAAGGGACGAGTATACTGCGCGGCGGTTCGTTCTGTTCTACTATACGGCTGCGAAACATGGCCTTTAAGAGTAGAAGATATTCGTAAGTTACTAGTATTTTACCACAGATGCCTTAGAAATATTGCTGGTATCTGCTGGGATCACCGGGTAAGTAATAGTGAGGTTAAACGCAGGGTATTAGGGAATGATGGTAAATCAGTTAATGAGGTTATGAATCTTCATCGACTGAGATGGTTGGGCCACGTGTTGCGTATGCCTGAACACCGATTACCACGACGCGCAATGGTAACCGGTGTTAGGGATGACTGGAAGAAAGTTAGGGGCGGCCAAACCAAAACGTGGCATCAGTGCTTGAAGTCACTAACTTCTTGTCTGAGGCATGTTGTTAGATGCAGACTACCTGGTTGTTGTCCGCGTGACTATCGTAACCAATGGTTGGAGACTCTTGGTGACATGGCTCAGAATCGATCACAATGGCGTCGGTGTATACACTCTCTGTCTTCCTTTAAACTAAGAGAATAAAATCACTTCAAATCTTTCTTTCTACCAACTAATTCTATCTTCCTGTACTATCTCCTCATACTCACTCTTTGTTCTATATATTACCACCACTGAATTAACTATTTCTATGAATCTGGTGTTCATCTTGTTGTGCTAATGCGGTATGGCAACTTGGACCGATGCATATACGTGCCTGGTCCTACGTTGCAGCTAACTGACTGACTGAATCAAGTCGCCTCTAGTTCTACGATATGACAAAGGGAATAGGCTTAGCTTGGCCAGTCGAGCATCATACGGAAGCTTCGCTATTACGGGAATCAGCTTACTTGCTGTTCTCTGGACCTTTTCCAAAAGCTCATTGTCTTTTTTAAGCAGGGGCTCGCCGCTTGTATGCAGTACTCAAGTTTGGGACGTACGAACACTGTATAAAAAGTCAAAAACGTTTGAGCGTCGACATGAGTAAAAGCCCTAAGTATTGACCATAAAGTTCTAAAAGCTTTGGCGGCTATTGCACGGCAGTGTGCAGTAGTCTTTAGATCTTGGCTAACGATGACTCCTAAGTCATTGTGTCTGGACAACAGGTAGCTCAGTGTTATTCATCGTGTATGTATCTGAACCTTGATGACCGATATGCATCACAACACACTTGGAAGTATTTATCGGTAGCTGCCATGTATGAGACCATTCGGATAATTTCTTCAGGTCATTTTGGAGTTCTAAGCTATCGCCCTTACATCGTATCGTTCTCCATATCTTGACATCGTCAGCTTATACAAGACCGATGATGATAGTAAGCGAGGAAGGTCATTTACATACAAGAGGAATAGCACTGGCCCCAAAACTGTACCCTGGGGCACTCCACTAAGCACAGTTTCCCAGCTAGATAATTTTGAGTTTGCCCGTACTCTTTGTTGGCGCCCAACAAGGAAGTCTTCTATTCACGTCAATAGATTGCCTCCAATTCCGACATTTTTTAGCTTATATAACAACCGGTTGTGCGGAACCTTGTCAAAAGCTTTGCTGAAATCAATGTAAGCCACGTCTACAGGTAACTTTTGGTCCTTAAAAGCGCACCAGCTTTCTCGAGTGACTAATAAGTTAGTGAGACAAGAATAACCTATTCTGAAACCGTGCTGTTTCTCCGAGAGGATTCGGTTTACATCGAGGTATTTAAACAGCTCTTTCCGAATAATCTTTTCTAAGATTTTAACAACCACACTAGTTAGGCTAACGGGTTGGTAATTCTCAGGTTTATGTTTCGTACCTGTTTTGAAGACAGGACTTACTATGGCGTTCTCCCAGTCTTTTGGTAAACGACCCTGCGTAACGGATAGCTTAAAGCATATACTTTAAGGGTTCGCAACGAAGTTAGATAATTCCTTTAGTAGCCTAGGATGCAATTCATCGGGCCCCATGGATTTACCTATGTCAAGCTTATTTAGCAGATCAAAGACATCGAGTTCATTTATGGTCACGCTATCCAGTGTGTGTGTGGGGGGGTTTGTATGCGCTGATGGGAAGGGTGCTTCTATGGTATATACATTGCTAAAGTAGTTTGAGAACACTTGAGCCTTACCAAAGTCATCTTCCACTAATGATGCGGCAGTACTGTCTCCCCATAGTGCAGGAATAATTCCTCTTATTTTTGTCCTTTGGTTTATATAGGAATACAGGCGTTTAGGACATTCTATGGATTCCTTAACAATTTTTTCTTCGTACAGCTTTCTAGACTTACGGTGGGTCGAGGCACAGGTATTCCTAGCTTTTCGGTACTGAGATTTTGTCTCATCAGTCCCCAGTAATCTAAATCTATGCCACATTTTTCTTCTCTTACGGAGAAGGATGCGGACCTCCCTATTGAACCATGGTGGGGAGTTTCTCGGCCCCCTTGGTACAGTCCAAGGAATGTGGGGTGCGGTGACTTTTAAGTATACATTTCGGAATGCATCCCAAGCCGTTTCCACGTATAGTCTAAAGATATAAATGGTAATAGTAATAGTCCGAAATATAGCTCAGAAAAATTTGAAGTACCCAATATTCGTCCCACTACAACAAGTAGTATTCACAAACAGCGGAGACAGATGGTTAACCGGATGAGTGCAATATGATGAGCATCATTATTTCATTTGTCGTGCTTTGTAGGCACAAAAGTAGCTTAATATAATCTATTTGTAGGGATTTAAAATGGAGGTCTGCAAAATGTATACTAATAGTGTGAGTTCTTGCGAATCCCCAACATTAATAATATTATAACGTTGGCACAGGCCTAATCATATGACACATTCATTCAATAATCTAACTATTCGAATGAAAACCAGATATCAGTAAGAATATAAGTTCAATTAACACAAGGCTCAATTAGTATTTGTTAATATTACAAATATATATAGTTACCTCTATGCGATATATCAGTTGCATCTGTTTGTGCTCCTTTACCAGTCACGAGCTTCTTTGGTTGGATATTAAGACATTAACAACCATTTCTTGATGTTGAGAAATCTTATTGTTGACTCTACAGAATAATAAATAAAACCATCTTTCGCTATATAAAATGTTGCAAAAGGTTGTATAAAAAAGAAACAGAACTGTTATGGTAATACAGAACTGACTGAAATAATGATAACGACTGCGAGAATCTTATTTTAAGAACTGTTAAAGTCATTCAGCCACAATGCAAAACCTGGTATATATGTGCATCGATTCAAGTTGTCATACTCCATTAGCACAGAGATATAGTTGTTGGGCCGAACCCCAGAATAGGGGAGAGGTTACAGTATCATTGGTAATAGGAAAGACTAGACATCGATGATACAATTCGAGAAAATATGAATTGGTGAAATAAAGAAAAACATGAAAATACTATGAGGAATTTAAAATCTCAGAATTTGGGGATTGCAAAGAACGTGTGTATGAGCGCTATTGTAAATGATTTTGAGCCTTGTCACGATAACCACGTGGACTTTAGCCATACATTTGAATAACAGCGGTTGCTAACTGAAATTAACTTTTGTTGATTGACTCCCATTGATTATTATGTCCTTTAAACAGACCATCAATTTTAGGATGAATTTTTTCATGAACTCTTCTTTTGGTCTTCGTTTATTATTAGTAATAGTTGGTAATTCTACAGATTGCCGACGTAATAAATGAACTACATTTTTACAAAAGTAAAGCAGTGTTAACTTACTCTGTTGTCTTAATCTCTAGGGTGTTCGGGTTGACATAAGTTCTAAAGGTCGTATTCGCGCGCGTCAGCTAAATGCACCACAGCCCAATGCTGTTAAAGAACTCCCGTATCCCTTACGTCTTTCCAGTTCTGGAAGAGCAGTCTACTTCAAGGTTAGTAATCCTGTTCTACTACAGCTGCATTCCTTGTCTTAAAGTCTATGAATTGAAAATAATTGGTTATCTCCTCCAAGTTAGATTTCACCAGTGGTCGGTACTATTCAAAAAATTACTAAATACTGAATCTTTATTTCGTCCCATTCCTAGATTCTTTAATAGTGCTCACCTATTATTTCATGGGAACAATGTAAAGAATTTTATGCTTCATTAAAAAGATATCTTTCCCCGTACTGTTGGGAATTTTTATGTCTTCAATCAATGCAGTCTTACACATGGTTCTACGTGCTATTGATATTTAGCGTTCAGAACATAATAGTTATACAATTTGGGAAGCTTATTTTCGGTTTTCCTATTTGTTTTCACCATCTGATTCTAGTAGTAACAAGATTTTACTAATATTCGGAATGAGTTTCAACTTATTTCCCTTATATACGTTAGTGCAGATTTGTAATGGTCTATACTGTATTATTATTATTTATTTATTTTAACACATAGGTATTGGTACAAGGAGGCACCAAATACATATGCGCCACACGAATCTCAATTGATTTGTGTGAGGGCTGTGATACTGCTCGGGTGCCCAAACCGAAGCAGGTGGTTTTGTTAGAGGGCCACACTCAGAGCCTTCGACCTGAACGTCTGACCCACAAGGCAGTGGAGCATCGTAAGGAGATCCAGTCCCATGGTAGCCGGTGACCAAGACATTGGTTTATATTCCATTTGTTCCTTCAGGATACTGGAGCCCATGTGCACCATTGATTTGGGATCCGGTTAAAGCACCGGAAATTCGCTTTTCGTCCTCTGATTTTCGTAAACAACACCCCCGCCACGAGAAGGCGGTGAGTAGGACTTCCGTGGCAGAGGCTGTATACGCGTGGCCATGTGAGAGCATTTCGAGAGGGAGAGCGGACTCTCCCCACTCTCGGCCATACCAGGGCATTTGGGGGCGGTCTATACTGGGGATGGTATAGGTACGAATATAGCAGAATTGATTGATAACAGCCAAACAATAATGTTACATTACTTCAACGATGTACTCAGGATGAAAAGAAAGATGTACTTTTGGACGAAAGCTTTCTATATCTAAAAATAAATCATGTAAACACCTTTACCGGTCGTATTCTTTTAAAATAGCCCTAAAATACAAATAAACATTTTGCTAAAAGAAATAAATGCGCAAAAATTTTAATAATCATAGTCCAGTTTTCTGAAGTGATCTTAACGAGAACAATAAATGAAAATCAATCAATGAAACGTTATATTGACTAATGAACCTTACGTCTGTCATAGATCACACTTTCACGTTATGGTTTTCTTTAATCACATTCTAATAACAGCTAGTTTATGAGGATGAAACTAATTAGTTATTAAGTTGTTTTTTGTTTGTTTAATTGTTATTTAACATATTGGTTAGAAAAGATTCATCATTTGTCTTAGATGCGTGTAAGAATGAAATAATGAAGCGGAAACTAATAGAATTATTAGAACTTAGTTGTACTCTTGTAGTATTTTACTAGTTGTGAGTAATAATTCTCAACAAATAAGCGATTCTGTGTTAATTTAAAGCGAAATCAGCTAATGGTAGTTTAAGCACTTGATTTGGTTCGACTCTCTCCCTCCCTCTCTAATATATAATACCATTTCTGGTTGGCAGCCTGTGGTCCTCCGCGAGGGTAACAGACGTAAGTGATGTGATACGAATGTACAATTGAGCACAACAGTGAATTTTCGACTCTTAAAGCTGTCCTAGGTTTAAACTCCTGTCCACCTACCACGGTTTAGACAACCATGTAGTGTCATTAGCCTACACGCTTAGAGTGTGGTTCATGCCCAAGTAACCTGGTGACTGAATTTATTGAAATAATAAAAATTTGCATGCATATTTTTAGTATCGTATTAAACTGATTAGATAATAAGAAATTTGTATTTTAGCACAATAAATGTTTACCATGACATGAAATGCTTCAACTAGTCATTATTCTTTGTAATTGGAGTAGTCTTTTTTCTTGTGAGGTTGTTAGGATGTTTTCAACGTGAATGTGATGATTGTTGGAATATATAGGATGGATAACTATTCTTTTTTCTTGAGCTTCAAATTCCTAAACTGTATAGTGGTTATTAAGAGATTATTTTTTTCTAGTATGAATGAAAACTCCAAATTTAAGTTGACACAACTAATCTATAGATTTAATTTTTCGTTTTCTTATTTAACAATCAACATAATATTCAATTCACTTGGTATTGTTATTGCTTGAATTTTATCATTGAGGTTTAAGACTGCAATTGATCAGTCTGTTGTTGGTGTATGTGCATACTGTGCGTGTTGCCTCGATATTGCCTTAATTCACAAGCTAGCCACTATCCATCTTTGCTTATAATATTCAATTGGTTGAAATCTTATAAGTGATATTTTTTTTCTTTGTTTTACTGGTTAATTTTTCTATTCTAAATGTTTGAATTTTCTCCTTGTTATCTTCATTCATTTAATAAGGCACGTGAACAACTACGTACTTTAGATCTATTATTCAATCCAAATGTTCTTTATGTGTTAGTTCCATTATTACTGGTTGTGATATTGACAAAATTAGTGAATACTAATGATCCTACTGTACAAAAAGAAATGCAACAAATGAATATTCTTAATCCACAACAACAATTACCTGATATGAGTGAAGTAAGTTATTTTTTTCCTTTTTTTGGCATAGAAAATAATGGTTTTTTTAATTATTTATTTAATTTTCATCACTGACTGCCATTATCTATAAAGTCATTTAAAAACTAGGGATTTATTTATTGAAATACATAAATATTGGTACAAAAGGGCACCAAAACATATAAGCGTCACACAATAAAAATGTGATTGTGATGAGCTAGAGATAGGAACGTAAGTATAGTAACAAAAAAAAACAAAAATGAATTAGTATAGAAGAGTGAGTAATAATAATAGCCCCCAAATGTCCTGCTACGGCCGAAGGCAGGGAGAGTTGGCTCTTCCTTTCAAAATACTCTCACATGCCCACGCGTATACAGTCACTGCTAGGGAAATCTTACTTGCTGCCTTCTCGCGGCGCAGGCGTTGTTTGCGAAATCGAGAGGACGAAAATTGAATGTCCGGCGCTTTAGCTGGATTGGTGGACACGGATGGTCCACCTGGGGGAGTTGGAAAACCGCGATCCAAGCCAATAGTGCACATGAGCTTAAGGATCCTGAAGAAACAAATGGTGTATGAGCCTATTGTTGGTCACCGGCTACCGCTTTCATGGTATCGTTGAGTAATAATTATATAAGTCGAAGTACTAAGTTGGTGAGATGGTCAATATATAGTCGATGAAGTGTTAACGTTGGTAATTACTTTCAAACTTATTTGTCGAAAGATTTTATACACTTGCCCCCAAATGCCCTGGTATGGCCGAGAGTGGGGAGAGTCCGCTCTCCCTCTCGAAATGCTCTCACATGGCCACGCGTATACAGCCTCTGCCACGGATAGGGCTTGAATGCTCAGGTTGGGCGTCTAGGCACAGAAAAGAGTCGTTTAGGTGGCCGATGGGGACTCGTTGGTCGCAGGACAGATAACGGGGAACGTCTACTGCAACTATGCACAGACCACAACCTGTTTCTGGCTAGCACTAACTTCCGACACAGTCATCGCCGATGTGCCACCTGGCGTTCCCCTTCTGCATGTCAAGCCTGGACTCAGATTGATCACATCGCGATGAGCTACCGCTGGCGCGGTTGTGTACAAGACTGCCGCTCCTTTTGGAGTACCTATCTGGAATCTGATCATGCCCTGATCTGCGCCAATCTTACCTTACTTTTCAGTGACCAACGAAGTGACCGCCACCAAAGGAATGATGTTAGCAAGCTGGCTGCAACTTCTGTTGCTAGTAAGTATCGAATCGAGCTAGCTTCTAGGCTAGCTACCATTCCACGGAAAATTATAGATAAGCATTGACTGCAATTGCATGGCGCCATGAAAATGGCGGGTAAGTCTGTTGTGGGTTCGCGAAACGTCCCGCTTATAAGCACTGGGTTTCTTCGGGTTCCTTACAACTCATTGAAGCCCGTCGGTCTACTCCGGGTGACCGTGAGTTTGACCACAGACGAAGGATGTTACGTAACGAAATCGGGCAAAGCTTGCGTAAGGACCGAGAAGCCTGGTGGTCGGAGCGTGCTAATGAGCTAGAAGCAGCAGCTGCATCTGGTAATTACCGGAAGCTCTTCCAACTCATCCGAGCCACTGGCAGCAAGAAGTCTGGTGTGAGCGAAACAATCTGCGAGGATGACGGAACGCCAATCACTAACATCCATCGACGTCTTAGACGATGGGCAGAATTCTTCGAAGGGCGGTTTGACTGGCCTGCTGCTCCGTCAACATCGATCAGATTGTCCTGTACTCCATGGCCGGTGACGACTGATCCACCAAATAAGGCGGGAGTCCGTAAGGAACTCCAACTCTTGAGGCGCTACGAATGACCGGGCTCAAATGACTTACCTCCGTCTCTTTTTAAATATGGTGGTGACTTTCTGGCTAAGGAACTGACTGTGTTGTTTACAAAGGTCTACGAACTAGAGGGTGTACCAACGTCATGGAATGAGTTGATAGTTGTTCCAATCTTTAAAAATGGTTCACGTCGTTCCTGAAACAACTATCGGGGGATAAGTCTAGTTCCGATTGCGTCCAAGCTATTGGCTTCCGTTATACTTTGTAGGTTGTTCAAAACCCGAGAAGGATTGACTCGCGAGGAGCAGGCTGGGTTTCGTTCTGGTCGAGGATGTATTGATCATATCTTCACCCTCCGCCAAATGTTAGAACACCGTCATACTTATCAAAGGCCAACAATCGTAGTGTTTCTTGACATCAGGGCTGCCTTCGATTCGTTGGACAGAACTGTTCTCTGGGATTGTCTATTGAAGAAGGGTGTGCCTGAGAAGTTTATTAACATCCTAAAAGCCCTATACACAAACACCTCAGGCAGAGTGAGGGCATACAACCACCTTTCTCCACTATTCCGTTCGAGCAGTGGGGTTAGGCAGGGTTGCCCAATCTCACCATTCCTCTTCAACTTTGCCATCGATGACATTCTGGAAACAGCTCTAATGGATGTAAGTAATGGTGGTGTGGATCTGTTGCCTGGAGAAAGACTTCTCGACCTTGATTATGCGGATGATATTGTCTTACTGTGCGAGAATGCCCAAGCCATGCAGTCCACACTTAATCAGTTGGCAATCAGTGTCCGTAGGTATGGTATGTGCTTTGCACCTTCGAAGTGCAAAGTACTTCTACAAGACTGATAGGATTCTAATCCTGTATTCACTCTGGATGGTGAGCAGATAGAAGTAGTTGAGAAGTTCGTGTATCTAGGTAGCTGCATAAGTGCTGGTGGTGGCGTGAGTGATGAGATCAATGCACGTATAGTGAAAGCCAGAACGGCTTATGCCAATCTGGGCCATCTTTGGCGCCTTCGTGATGTTAGTCTGGCTGTAAAAGGTCGGATCTACAACGCGTCGGTGAGAGCAGTTTTGCTCTATGCTTGTGAAACCTGGTCTCTCCGAGTTGAGGATGTTAGACGACTCTCTGTGTTCGATCATCGTTGTCTCCGAAGGATTGCTAACATCCAGTGGCAACACCATGTTAGTAATGCAGAGGTTCGGCATCGTGTGTTCGGGCACAGAGACGATAATGCAATTGGTGTCACCATCTTGAAACACCGACTTCGGTGGCTTGAACATGTTCTACGAATGTCGTCCCAGAGAATTCCTCATCGTGCATTATTTGCCGACTCTGGGACTGGTTGGAAAAAGCGGAGAGGTGGTCAGTATATGACATGGTGTCGTGGTATGAAAGAAAGCTGCAAAGGGCTAGCTTCTGTTGGTCCTTCACGACTCCCTGGTTGGGGTCCGAAAGGCGGTGTAACGCAGTGGCTAGAGACGTTATCAGATATGGCTCAGAATAGAAGCCAGTGGCGATCCTGCTGTAACCTTCTTTTACTTTCTTCATAAAAAGTGTTTGTATCTTCCTTAACTGAAAGATCTCTTCTGATTGTACCTTTCCGTTTTCTTCATTATGACTATTATTACACTACCTTACACTAATCTTGTCGTTATTGTTTTTTTTCCCTTCTCTTTAAATTCCTCGTTTTTTTGTGTGGCGCATATATATTTGGTGTCCTCTTTTACCAATATTTATGTGTTCAAATAAAATAATAATTTTTACACTTATTTCCTTTTATTGTCTTGAATGGAGCAAGATCAAAGAATTGAGCAGAATTACAAATCAAATTTACTTCATTAGGTTCTCACCAGCTGCTTGCAACCCATAATTTTTGTTGAGTGTTCTTATAACCAGCAGTAGATGAAGTAAGTTTCAACAATAAAAGGATTTAAGCTACGAATTCTCAATTTTCGATTACTGAATAGTGACTGATATCATATTTGCCTAGTTCTTTAGTGCTGATCAAATTTTATCGATAAAGTTATAATGTTGGGATGTTAGGCGGATTGTGGTAGTTGGGAGTTAACCATAAACGGTTAAACAAATATAACATATGTCATGTGATTAGTCAGTGTATATATCTTAGTCTTACATTAGGTCACTCGTGACCCAAATAGCTCAGTGGTAACGTCTCCAGACTGTAAAACTGTGTGATGGGCTTGTAATATTAAAGGGAACGTCAGTCTCCTTAAGATTGCAGACATGCCTTGTTGACGAATGTCAAGTAGCTAGGGACCTAGGTCTAGAGTTTCCTGTAGACTTCTTCATCCATCTAACAAACTAGAAATTCTGATGTGTGATGATAGATGCTCTTCGAAAGAAATAAATGGTGTATCTATGTAATTTCTATTATAAACTAACACCAACTGAAGGAAATCATCGACAACTTAGGATCGATCGCCGAACTGTTGTTTTGTATTCGGAAATCCTCATTATCAGTGCTTAAACTGAGGAAGAATTAAAAACACGTGCTCGTCACGAGATCCAGGGATTTCTTACCACAGAACAAAACGTATTCTGTTTTTTTTTTTGAGAGAATATTTATCGCATGGCATAGTTTCGTGATTGCTAGCCAATTGCTTCATACTCGAAACGGAATACACTAGTTAATCTATCTTCGTGCAATCAGCGCTGGTCAGCAGGGATTTATTGGTAAATTTTGTATCGACTAATTTTTTCACTACTATAACTTTGTTCAATTTATTGGAATGTATATTGTTTGTTCTCAATTCTTGATTTGAGTAGACCCGAATAAACGATCGTGGTCAGGAAATATTAAGTAGTTGAAGAGGATAACAGTAGCGGTAGAAACTACTTCTTAACTATGCATAATCTTTAGGGAACCTAATGTCAATAATAATAACAACGCATTGTTCACTGTTTAATAGATTCGAGATAGATTCCCGTTAGATTTGTACATCATCGGATCCGAGTCAGTAGTCTATATGTTAAGCGTTTGCTCTCAAGACCAAAGGTCCTACGTTCACTTCCCATTTGTGGGGTCATGGTTATTCACTAGGAAGAAATGGCCCGACTGTTATTGAGCTCCTTCTAGGAGGTCCACTTATTGACTTAGAATACGCAGATGATATAGCCCTGTTTGGTGAAGGCGCTGATAAAATGCAGAGTCTTTTAATAGCACTAAGCAACAATGCCAGAATGTTTGGGATGGCCTTCTTCCCCTCTAAATGCAAGTTGTTGCTTCAGGACTGGCCTGTGTTAACACCTGAACTAAGGATAGGGAGTGAAGTAGTCGAACGCGTTGACAACGTTACTTATCTTGGAAGTCTGACTAGCCCTAATGCGTTGACGTCTGACGAAATCTCAGCACGGATTCGAAAAGCTCGTTTGGCTTTTGCCAATTTACGTCACCTATAGCGAAGGCGAGATATTCGTCTATCAATTAAGGGACGAGTATACTGTGCGGCAGTTCGTTCTGTTCTACTTTACGGTTGCGAAACATGGCCTTTAAGAGTAGGAGATACTCGTAAGCTACTGATATTTGACCACAGATGTCTTGAAAATATTGCTCTCATTTTCTGGGATCACCGGGTAAGTAATAGTGAGGTTAGACCTAGGGTATTAGGGAACGATGGTAATTCAGTTAATTAGGTTGTGAATCTTCAGTGACTGAGATGGTTGGGCCACGTGTTACGTATGCCTGAACACTGATTACTACGACGCGCAATGCTAACCGGTGTTAGGGATAATTGGAAGAAAGTTAGGGGCGGCCAAACCAAAACGTGGCATCAGTGCTTGAAGTTGCTAACTTCTGATATGAGCCATGTTGGCAGACGCAGATTACTTGGTTGTTGTCCGCGTGACTATTGTAACCAATGGTTGGAGACTCTTGGTGACATGGCTCAGAATCGATCACAATGGCGTCGGTGTATAAACTCGTTGTCTTCCCTTAAACTATGAGATTAAAATCATATCACATCTTTCTTTCTACGAACTAATTCTTTATTTCTGTATTATCTCTTTATATGAAATCTTTCTTTTATATATTATCACCACTGAATTAACTACTTCTATGAATCTGCTGTTCATCTTGTTGTGCTAATGAGGTATGGCAACTTGGGTCGATGCACATATGTGCCTGGTCCTACGCTGTATCTGACTTACTGAGGAAGAAATGGCCGTTCAGTGCTCATAGGTTTTCAGTGGTGGTCTAATGTTGATCAGTTCGCTGTTCCAATGAAATTCAAGTTGAATTTTTCGAAATTTTGATTAAAAGTTTTTATCTATAGATTTAACCAAGTTGTGGTAATGAGAAATTATCAATTATAATATTGACGAAGGATCACATTGCATGTCACGTAATCCTTAATTAAAATCAAGCCAATTAAACAATATTAATAATCTTATCTCGAATAAACTTGTCTCACTTATTTTTATTTGGTTAGCACGCTTTTAAGTTATTTCAAACTATCTTCTATATTTGTGCTATAATAAGTATGGTATATCATCAGTGATAGTAAGATGTGTTCGGTCATTGGGCGATGACAGATAGACACTCAGTTTGCTAACTATGTAACTAACGATTTCCTTATTATTATTAGTTGCTACTCCGAATTTCACTGAGTGTAGACTGCCGTCATATGTTTTGAATAAAGGATTGTATAGACTATACTCGGGTTCTCTATATTCAATCGTTAGTTCTTTATCCTCCATAACATGTGATTCCAATCTGTCTATAGAGTATCAATTGAATATCCATTCTAGTGATCTAACAATCTAGTGCCTGTTCGTATCATAGTATCATATCGTAGCAAAACAGAAAACATTTTTAGTTTATCGTCATATCACAATGTTTTGTCATATTTTTACTACCTTTTTCCTTTGGTAATTCTATTTTATTCATTTCTCAGTTCCTTTCGTCGCTGTCTTTATTCGGTGGAAATACTAAGAAGACCACTCCGACAACAGTAAATAAACGAAAATCGTCAGAGAAGCATCGCCAAATTACGAATAGTGCAGGGATTTCTGAGAGTTCAAGTCAATACACCACCGTCGGTAACACTAGTAGTCCCACTTCAAGTTCATCGAATTCAACAACAAAACGAACAACAACAAAGGCAAGAAAAACTGAATAAACAAGCTGATATATATATATATATATATTACAAAGTAACTGATTTACCAAAATTATTTTTTATTTGTATTTGAATGAAGAAAGAAAACGACTCATTTTCACCTGCTCATCTATTTTGTTTTCCTTCCTTTCAATGTTTATCTTACAATAATGAATGTTTTTTATTCGAAGTGTTTTTTTAGCCAGTATAGTTGCTTTCTCAAATTTACTCCCTATTCCATAGTCAGTCGTTCCAAAATATTACTTAAATATTCGTTTCTTTTAATAAAAAAGACCATAGTTAAGCACAATATGCTGGTTAATGTAGTTCGTGCATGTGTATCTGTAAATTTATGTGCTCTAGTAAATTAAAACTCGTTTTTTTAATACTGAATCTGGTTTCTATCCAAGTAGTGACCAGTATCATGTTTGTCTAACCTTCAGTGTTGTTATATTTTTCTATTTAGCGAGTCTACGTAACAAGATCGAATGGTCAGTGTCCCATATTTAGCCGTTGAAAACTAACGGCAGGAAGTCCTGATGATAGGTTTCGTGCCAGATGTTAGTTATCGAACCCCTACACCTCTTAATAATTCTTTGATCCCCACGACCAACTTCTCTCATTTATCACCATACGCCACCAATGCTAATGACTTGAGTTCGCGAAATGTTATTCCTGGTCCCCTGAAACCACGCTCTAGACTACGTGTTGGAGCTCATGATGTTCGAACCCTGTGCCAGATAGGAAAACAGGCTTCTTTAGCTAACACTAGAGCCTCGTGCCATCGATGTGTTCTGTGTCTCGGGAACGCGTCTTTTGACTCAAATGGATCACTAAATTCTTACTGAACTTTGTCATAAACATGCTTTTAGAGATAGCACTCCCACCGTCTGACTTTTCAGGATTTGATCTTCTACCAGAAGGTTCACTTGTTGGCTTATAATACATAGTTCTGTTTGGTGAAGACGTTGATAAAGCAGTTTTTGGCCACCTTAAGCAACAAGCCAAGAATGTTTGGGTTCAGCTCTCCCTTCCAAATGTGAAATGTTACTTCAGACTTGGCTTGGGTCATTGCCTAAAATAAGTATAGGGAGAGAAGTAGTTGAGCGCATTGACCACCTCACTTATATTCTAATTCTCATTAGTCATGTTGCCGAACGAAATCTCGACACGGATTCAGTCTGAGTACAGACGCTTCCATAATGACCTTAACGCGTTTCATACGAAGGAGAGAGTCTCCCAAAGAAATCTACGGTGAAGACGAAACTTACTCTGTTAGGACATCTTATGAATTGCGAAATATGAGCGTACGGAAAAAGCATTGAATAAACGATTTCACATTTATAATGTAGATACATAGATATTTCGACCCTCCACTGTCTAACCATCGAGATCCTCGGAGGAGGATCCTGCTGGCCATTTTTGACGAACATGTTTAAGACAATGACTGTTTATTAGCCTACTTTGTAGGAATAAATAGAACTTTAAATAACCGCCTATCCTTTTGTGGCATCGTATGAGAACAGTGGTTCAGCACTCGTGTCTAAAACCCTGTTGTTACTCAAAGATTGTGGTGGTTTGGGGATGAAGTTCAGTATTGAGGATGGGCATTCTTAAATTTTCTAGACTTAGAATAGGTGGTTCAGAGAGATGAATAATTCACAATTTATAATTAAAGTACATTTATCCTTTTAAAATTTTTTAAATGCATTGAAACAGAAACCTGGCGTGAACGTGGGCAGGAAACAATCACGTTTGCTATCCAAAGTTGGTGCTACTGGACACTAAGGTACAACCTATTGCAAAATGGGCGTGTTTTATCTATAATGTGTATAAATAAGTTATACACAGTTATAAACGTTGCAGTCAGAGTTCGCCTCGATGCACATTAGCAGTGAGTTAGCTACTGAGAAAGTAATATTTTGAATTTAAATCTGTCATAGATTGGCAAAATGTCATGCTGTACTGCAGAACATTTCATCAACAATGTCGAACTATTGTGAGATCGTTACTTAGCTTATGTTTAAGTCTGGGTCTAATAGGCATGATCATACACGAAAAATTGATGATGAACTGTCAAGTTTGCATTTTATTTTGTCATTTGACAAGGGACTGAGAGCTTTGGAAACATATCTTCAGAAAGGGAACGAAAAAAGACCTACCGTCCTTACCAAACTAAAACTGAAATCTTTGTATTGTGTTAGGCTAGTGTTGTGAGTTAGGTAAATCACACAGGGATCTTATCACTGATTGACACTAATTGTAATGCCAGCCAGGATGTTTTCGGAAATGTTCAATAGCCTGTTACTGACTGTCATGATGGGACGAATCGGCATATTAATTGATGTGGGTTTTACCAACGGATTTGTTAGTCATCTCATTGGTAGTTTACAGTCATGAATATTCAAATGGTTGTGGACGGAATAGAAGAAGCTTTCGCTTAACAGGCCTCCGCGTCTAGTAGTAGGGGATCACTAATACCTCCAGACAAGGACCAATAATATTCACTATTCTAGTAGCGAAGATAAATACACTTCATACTAACCTATACCATAATTCTGCATTCTTACTGCACTTGAAATTTCACGCAAAATACACTATGATTTGTTATCTGAAAGCCATCATATACCCTTATTTTCGCCTAAAATAATATCACATACATTGGTGGTTGTTTGAACTTTCGTTTAGATAGAATTGCTTGGGTATTAGAATGCTTAGATACAAATAAATGTATCGTTAAAGGCTGGTCGGATTCGTTGAAGTCTCTAGAAACCGTTTGTAACGTTTACAATTTGGTCGCTTTGCGTCAAGCCTGAAGGTAAATTCTGTGCTGAAGGACTGCGAGTAGCAGTACGTGGAAGAATCTGAAATCAAAAAGAACTGGTAGAAAGTGAACTGAATATTTGGAAAGTTTCTACGCTTAGTGATAAAGGCAATTCATAATAATTAGAAATGACACAGGGTGAGATTCAGAAAATCTTATTATCAACACTAGTAGTCGATAGTGCAAGTTTTCGTATGAGTGACATAGCAATGAGTCAGATATCAAGTTTCAAGGCAGAGTCAATATTAACGCATAAAACAACTTAAGTTGTTCAAAACTACAGCTGACTAATAACGTAACCAGCGCTGATAATTCCATAAATAATTTCACTAATGGATGATCAGTATCTAAATTCAAAAAACATTGATCGTCACCTAATGCATCCTGTTATTTCCCAAGCTCCCAACTTTGGGGAAATTTTGGGGAGTCCACAAACAGAGAAAATCACGAAATCATCATTCCACAGTAACATTTCATATGCATCCGATTATTAAACGTGAAAACATTAAATTACAATGAAAATTTGTTAATTTTGATACAATAAAGACTTTTGGCCAGGAATAGTCTATCGACTTTCGGGTCTTGTTTTAATACGTCATACAGAAACGAGACAATGAATTAACGTTCCTAAACTACCTTTTCAATATTCAAACGCCATTCAGGTGAGTTCTTAGCATTATCCGAAACTTCGATTACTGTAGTTCTTCAGTCTCACTTCAGTAAATTGTCTCTTTCAGGAAAATAATTTACAGCTTGATAAGATTGGTTAAAAAAAGGGCTCAAGCTGCCAGAGACTTGATGTTGCTGGGCTGTCCCAGATCAACTTATTACCGAAGGTTGCGGAAGTTGAGAGATGAATTCATAAGAAATTATCAGTTAAGCATCAGTGACGAAAATGACAACAATTCAGTTGTCGCCACAGGAGTAGGTACAACGGTTGCTACAGAGCAGTGTAACAGTATTGTCTCAGAAACAACCACTGCTTCATGTAGTTATGTCCAGTGTGCTGGTAGTACAGCCGATGTTAGTGTATCTTCCTTAATTAACCATGTATAGGTGGTGTGATTTCAGAAATGTCTCCACTCAGTCATCTTTCAATGAGAGAAGAGGTCGACCGAATTGTCGTAGGCATAGTGAGAGGTGGTGATATGACCGTGAAGAAGGCTGACGAAATTCTGAACCTATTTCGCATGCGCATTCCTGAACTACCGACATCCGTCCGAAGTGTTCTACGTAGATGCAACGACGTGGAGCTTAAAATTCCCGGAACGGTACTTATTACCATTTGGGATTGAAATCAAGTCTGCTGAGGATTTCGGAAACTTGGCTACGTAAATTCCGTTTTACAGAACTAAAGCTGCAGTTGAACTACGATGGTCTGAGCTTGTTTAAAAGCTCTAACCAGCAGCTGTGGCCGATACTAGGTCGCATAGCGGGTATTTATAGTTGGGATATATGGGGGTGATGTGAAACCATGTGATTTCAACGACATGTCAGCAGCACATATCACTGAGTTGCTGACAGTAGGTCTACGTGTAGATAAGTATCAGGTACATTTTACAGTTAAACTGGTTACTGTTATTTGTGACGCTCCGACTCGCAGTAACGTTCGGTATGTTGTTGGACACAACGGTACTGCTGGCTGTGACAAATGTCATGTTTCAGGGATACGAATGGTTGGTCGAATGACTTTCCCAAATGGTGAACACGAATTGAGAAATGATGTCGCTTTTCGTAGTAGGTCACAATCTACCCATCATCGTGGTGGAAGTTCATTTGAAACTCTTCTATTGGATATGATAAAATGTTTCCCCTCTGAACCTATGCATATGATTTACTTAGGTATCACTAAAAAACTTATTTCATTATGGAAGGACCTAGCTATTAAGCGACTTCATACGATGGATCAATCGATTATAGCATCTTTAAATGAAGCACTAAAGTTATGTAGGGAGCACACTACATGCGACTTTCAACGCAAATGTCGTTCACTACATGAAGTTTCTGTACGGAAATCAACTGAATGCCGGTTGTTATTACTGTACTAAGAACCAGTAGTTCTTCATAATAAGTCACCACTTTCGATGTACCGAAACTTCCAGTCGCTCTCTTTGTCAATATATTTATTATCGCACCCTAAGTTGCACACCACTTTCGCAGACAGTGTTCGCGTTTACATTAACAACTTATTATTAGGTTACCAAAAGTGAAACGGTAGCGACCAATTAATCTACGATGTGCATAGTTTAAAGCAAATTGCAGGGAACGTTATAGAACATGGCAGTTTAGAGTCGTCCTCTGTGTTTCCTTTTGAATCATACATGAGGAAAATTAGGCGTTCAGTACACTGCGGATTCGCTGCGGCTAAACAAGCCGCACAGCGATATGCCGAAGAAGTTTACTTTCAAAGTATAGTTAATAACGATA